CGGGGACGGCGGGAGCGGACGGAGAGCCCGCGGGGGGCGGGAGGAGCCGAAGCAGGTAGGTCACCGGGGTCCTCGGGGTTCTGCAGGTCGGGTGCCGGGCTCCCGCTTCAGGGGTGACGGGGCACCCGGTTCCTGAGCGCTTTTCTTTGAGAACCATTTAGTTTGCAAACAGGAGCGGCTGGCAAAATGTTGGTTTGGTTTGCGAACTCTGCGCCGGGTGAAGAGCGGGGCCGCGGCCGCCTTTCCCACACAGGCGCAAAGGCGGCCGCCTCTTCCAGGGTCGTGGGATGAATTCGGTCCCCGAGCCACGGTACCACCCCACGAGTCACACTGAACCCCGGCCTGCATTCCGGCCAACGTCTTGATCCTTTGCTAATTGACCGATGCAGATAGGAACAAAGAGCAAACCTCTGAGAGATCAGAATATAGTAGATTGGTTTTCTTGTTGTTGTTGTTTGCTTTTTTTTTTTTTTTTTAAGAATCTCCTTTGTTTTCCTACAAATAACCCCTGACGTTTGCCTTCTGTGTGCCACTAATATTTGAGTTTGTAACGTTTCTGGTTTCCTGATCTCTCTCCTCTTCAAATACATGCAAGAAGTCCATGGGAAAGAAAAAAAAAAAAGGAACAACGATGTGTTAGGTACCAACTCCACACAAGGAAAGTCAACTTCGCGTACTACACAATGAACTAATAAACTAAAATAATAAAAACCAAAGACTATTTAAAATGCCAGACAGTGGCATATTGAGAAGAGGTGATCAGGATCAAGGCACGCTAAGGTCCTCATACTGTTTGGAAATAAACACAGCTTTACACATTACATTACATATGCAAGTGAAAAAGTGTAGGAAGACCTCTAAAAGAGATTTGTTTTTGTATGTAATTAACTGAAGATTTGCCTAAGCACATTACATATGCGTGAAAAAGTGTAGGAAGACCTCTAAAAGAGATTTGTTTTTGTATGTAATTAACTGAAGATTTGCCTAAGCACACAGGAGAAAAATGAAGTGTGACATAAGGGAAACTACATAACCCCGAAAGAATACAAAAGAAATTGAGGGAGGGAAAGTTTTCCTCAGACAGTACTTGCAGTTGTGGTAGAGGTGGCTTGTGAGGGGGAGAAAAGATAGTTCAGTGTGGACCGAGAGAAATAATGCTGTGTGCGTGACAAACAGCATAACACCACTTCCACATTTCGTGACAACAGATGAGGGTACTTAATGTTCTGTGATTATCGAAAGAATACAAAAGAAATTGAGGGAGGGAAAGTTTTCCTCAGACAGTACTTGCAGTTGTGGTAGAGGTGGCTTGTGAGGGGGAGAAAAGATAGTTCAGTGTGGACCGAGAGAAATAATGCTGTGTGCGTGACAAACAGCATAACACCACTTCCACATTTCGTGACAACAGATGAGGGTACTTAATGTTCTGTGATTATTATTGTAGTCAGCAGGTAAAGAGGTTCAATTAGAATCTAAAGCGGAATCAGTGTATCAGTATTACTCCACCATCAATAATGCATGAAGGTTGTAGCTTCAGAAAGAGTAGTACATGAAATGGTGAAGCGATTTGTAAAAGATAACTGAGGGAGGGCACTTGTGTCATTAGAGTCTGTGGGTAGCACGTTAATACAAAGTGTAAACTTCGCTCTGTATTTCTGTGCACAGAGCTGAAATCTCAGCTCCTCAGACAGTATCCACCCTGAGGGTTAATCATGCATGGGCTGTTCTTGTCTGCCCTCATCCTCATATAGCACTTGGATCTCCTTCTTTGTCATCAGTCCAGTTCTAATGTCTGTCCCAACACTGCTAAAACACTAGCTGATAAATGTGTCTCCCAATTTATAGTCTCCCTTTTCAGTTAGTTTTCAGCAGACTCATACTGAATAATGAAGATTATATATGAGGACACTCAGTGTGATATGCAGTTGGGAGAACTTTGGGGTAGGATGAGATGCATTTCACGTGATGTGAAATATACTGAATTTTCTGCTTCCCTCTTAATTTTAAGGCCCTCTTTACCATCTTTAGTTTCAGCTTTTGTGAGTGAAAAAAGCCTGTAATTTCTAGAAATCTCCTTAGTGGTTTTAGGGTCTTGGGCTGTGGGAGGAAAGAATTGGTTTAATTCTTTCTTCCCCCAGTCTTTGGGTTCCCTTAGATGTAATAAGGCCTAAGTGTTTTACCTCAAGGCTGCAAAGTTGTGTCTTAGGCCTAGACATGTTATAACCTCTGCCTGTTGGAAAATTCAACAGAACACAGGTGCCTTGGCTAGAAAGCTCTTCTGAGGGGGTGCATAACACTACACCATCTACATATTGCAAGAGTGATTTGGGAAAAACTATAATATTTCCTTTTATCAAATCAGGATCTAGGGATATCCTCATCTTTCTGATAAATAGTTGACAATTTAAAATAACTGAAGGGCTTAGTTCTTATATTTCTTAGACCTTTAAGAATATGTGCCTGCGGATGTCTTCTATTTTAACCACCTCTCTGATGGCAGGCCAGTAGGGATCTTGTAGAGGAACTGCTTGTGTTCCAGGAGAAGCCAGTTGTTCCCCTAGTTGCCTGTCTTTTGAGCTTGCAAAATTAAGATAATATTTGTCTCTAAATGTAATACTACTTGTCTTTCATTAAAAACCAGTATTTGATTTAAGGACAACATTACATCTTTCTGATCTAGTTCATAGATCTGAGTAAGTTCTCTAAAGACCTCAATGTACATATCAGAGATATCAAAAACTTTATTAGGTTTCATTTAATGTCTTAGATCACTGAGACAAAGACATGTGAACACAGATAGTCCCACATTTTCCATTTACTTCCTGCAAGGGATATTGTCTTTGAGGGGCCCGAACAACTTAGCTAAGGGTGGATATAGCCTCATGGAGGTTGTAATTATGGCTGGCCTAGGTACTCCATCCTCAGCACCTGGTGGTCAAGGTTTAAAATTGTCTTGGAAACTTTGTGCTTAGGCTCTAAAGGGGAGAAATAACCTCAGGCTTAGAGGTACTGAATGTCTCAAAGGTGAGGTGTCATTATATTTATACTTGAACACAAGCAAGAATTATTTCTTAATGTAAATAAAATCTCAACATAAGGTGATTTTTGACCATTTTCTCTCTTTTCCAATATAATTCTAATTGTGAGCATCATAGTACTTTCCTCTTCATACTTGGCTTTAGGAGACAGGCACACCACACACAGGCGTAGACAAATATTAAATTGCTCCTGAATACACGCCAAAGGAGTGAGAGATTCAGAGATGGAGTTTCCAATATGAAACAAAAGAAACAAATATGGCATCCCATAAGTCTGCTTGATTTCTGTGCCCTTTAAGGCATCCCAAGGTTTATTCCACTCCACGGTAGATAGCTACCATCTGGAGAGAGACCCAGAAAATAAAACTGGACTGGACTACCTGCCCTTTACCAGTGCACTATCTTTTTTGTTTGTTTGTTTGTTTTGTTTTTTGAGACAGGGTCTCACTATGTAGTTGAGACTGACCTGGAACACACTATGTAGCCCAGGCTACATAGTGATCCTCCTGCCTCAGCTTACCGAGAGCTGGAATTACAGGTGTGCGCCACCATACCCAGCGACCAGTGCACTATCTTATCTTCCTCAGGTAACTCATATCCTTACTCCAGGAAGTACTGTTAAAGCACAAGCTACAATTGACTTCAGCTGTTACAATCGTATTTAGAGAAGTACTGCCAGCAAACCAAGAGATTGAAACCACTGCTTTTCAGCTCCTTCAGAGAGAAAAATAGGTCAACAGTCAAATTAGGGCACTTTTCCTGCAAAAGAGAACACCTCCAGAAATGGCAAGTCAGAGATTCTGCCCTGGGCCCTAGGGTAGAGAAACCTCTGAGAAATTTCTGTTGTCTTTCCAGTCATTTAAGCAACTTTTTTTTCCCTCATTGAGTTTATTGGTACATTTTCGGTATACAGTACAGTTACATTCATCATTGGGGTCTTGTACCTTTACATGACAGGTCTTGGTTCTCATTTTTTTTTCCCTTGTCCCTGCCCTCCCTTCACCCCTTCCTCCCCTCCCCATTTACAAACATTTTATTTCCATTTTTTCATTTTCTCCTATTTCTTTTCTTTCCCTTATTACCTTTCCCCTACCCTTCCCACTTTTCCTACACTTTTAGCCCTTTTCTTCCCATTTCACATTGTCAGTTATCTCATTACGATTCAACATAGTAAATATTTATACAGTATTAATATAACAACTACATAATCAATACATGTTCTCTTTTAACAAATTTGAAAATTATGCCAATACAAAATATATTCTGGAGTGTGAAACACAGCAAATTATCTAAGGATTAAAATATCTCAGAGTATATTCTCTGACAAGTGAATCAAATGATAAAATATAAGCAAAATATATTAATAAAATACACAAATATTTAGAAACTTAGCACATTTCTATGTCTCATAAGCTAAATTGGATATCAAAAGAAAAAAGGAAATTCTTTGGACTTAGTTATGAAGCATCAAAATATCTAGGATATAACTAACTTGACACTAAGTAAACATTCATACTTTGAAGTGCCAATTCGTTGTAAGATTTACAAATAAACCCATCTTTTAGAAACTATGACAAAAGCAATATTAATCCAAACAGTC